AAAAAAGACAGCATTGCCTTGAGACAGTGCCGCCGAACGGGGAAACCGTCTTCCTGCCCTCCGCGCACAAGCGTGAGCGCCAGCGGTGTGGGCTTGAGGCGGCATTTCACTGGCATGCGTCTGGCCGAGAGCTGTTTGGCTGTGCTCAGGTAGTCCCTCAGCCCCTGGCATGACATGGCGCCTTCCGAGCACAATATCTGCAACAGAAGACCACCGTGGGGTGTTCCCGTCCCGACTCACCCGCCAGGCTAGGCGGCAACAACGCCAGGCTAGGCGGCAACATCGCTAGGCTGGGCGGCAACAACGCCAGGCTAGGCGGGTAACAGCGCCAGGCTAGGCAGCAACAACGCTAGGCTAGGCGGCAACAACGCTGCGATAGCCCTTCCAGTCTGGACGCACCTCAGCCCCCGACAAAAGGCTCCACCCGCTGGGGAGTCACGGCTTCAGTCCGCTGCCGCCGGGTTCAGTCAGTAATGACACACGGCTGGTGGCTGTCATAAGTCCTGAAGAAGTCAGAAGTCCGTCAGAAGTCCGTTCAGGGCCGTCAGAAGTCCACTAAGACTGATGGTATGGCCGATGTCTGATGTACTGATGGTATTCGGGCCGATGTCGACTCGCTTCCTGAAAGCGGCGAGTCGACAAATGGCAAATGGCGAACCGCCTCATCGCCGTGCTGCGACATGCCTTCTTCTTATTGGCAACCAGTCATACCAGGAGCTGCACACGTACCTGGACTCAGCCCGAGAGCACGCGACTGGGAGGACTGTCATATCCCTTGCAACAAGGAATATGACATTGGACGTGAGGGAGGATGCTGATCACTTACCCAACTGAGCGTAATCGTTATCATTCTGGCCCCAGAGGTTCTCCAACTGTTCCTTGAACGTGGTTTCATGGCGAATATTTTCGGTTTTGCCCCGTTTCGCCCGCACTCAGTTGCGTGGTTTGGTCTTTCGGTCTGGGCTATTTTCCCAGACACCAGACGGTCCCGCCTGCAAATCAAAGTCGCTACAGTGGCGCTTTTATTTGGGGAATGACGATACAGGCCCGCGAAGACTTGTTTCTCGTTTCTATTTCTTATTTCATTGCTTCTTTTCTTCGATGCATAGCTACTGTAGCATAATTTGTAAGCCAAGATATCCGATTCTGGCAGAGTTGTGTGCCACTCATAGCCTTCTGCTTCGCAGCGACGAGTTCCGGAACGCATACTATAGTACACCCCATGGTGTATGTCTGTGCATATTTTATAGTCGCCTATAATGCATGCGTCGTGCACATATGGCACGTCCATGTTATGGCATATGGCACGTCCATGTTGTGGTTTATAACACATGCGGGTGTTGCGAGTTATAGCCTTACAATGAGTACAGGAAGACAACAAATGACATATACCGATCAGCAGAGGTGATTTTGGTGGTTCATGATCAGTTTGGTTGTTGATTTCTAAGTTGACATTGACTTTGAACACATCGATTAAAAACAACGGCAGAAATGTATTCCCTGCCATCGAAATCCCGCAGCGTACGGTACCACACGATCCCCCAAATCGTCAAGATAAAACTTTGAAACTTAACATTGAAACTGGACTCAACACCTGGCATAGCATTCGAGATGGTAGCGGCAGACATTTTGAGCATGAGAAACGCGCAGAGTTGCGCAAGTAGGAACGAAGCTAATGTGGCTTACCTAGATACATGAAATTAGCGACATAGAAGATTTCATTGAGCAGTTCGCGGTAGTTGACATTGCTGGGTCTCATCTATAAAGTGTAAGGATGATAGCTTACTCTACGTATCCAACTAAGTGAGAGGCGTATTTTATGGTACATGCGTTGTGTACATAGCGCATATGCAAATATCACGTATTCATATTACTGTAGTTTGTAACACATGCAGCTTGTGTAAGTGGTACCCGTGCCATGAACACATGACAACAAACGACATGTATCCATCAGCTGAGGTGATTTTCGTTATTGGTGATCGGCTCTGACGTTTTACCCTTAATTTGATTTTGAATTTGACCGCTTACTTGAAAAATAACTGCAGAAATGGGCTCCCGTCACATAAAACCTTATAAAAGCAGTGTGACACGGCCCACCGAGCCGTCGAGAAAAAGAAATATGAAACAGGACCAACATTCAATATGGCGCCGCCACCGTCTTTAATGCTTGGAAATGCTGAAAGTTACGCAATTAATCACTGAGCTGACTTGGATCACGTAGCCACAAAGAGCATATTTCCGTGAAAAAACTTAGCACTAGTCGGCATTGCAGGATCTCATGTAGTAGGCACAAAAATTTCAACTCGATTATAGCTCCAACCCAACCGCTCAACTGTAGCCAAAGTGTTTGGATTGTTTGTGGCAGGAAATGACTGTTCGTTGGTGCCTAACACCCTGCAGGCGTAACAGCTGCTGCACCAGTGAACAGTTCCTCGTCATTTGAACATGCTAGGATTTTTGATGAGTGGGGTTTATGACAGCCGGTCTGATCTTTATTGGATTGAACTCATATCTTCATGGCCGTTATGTGATTATATCTATCGTTAAGACATTGGTCCGTTGGTCTAGCAGAGTGAGGAACGGGGCCCACCATGAACATGATACCGTAGGCAAGGCACAAACTAGTGCAGATATACATTGCGCTAACATTCTGCACAGCAGTTCCCATGCTGTTTTAAATGGGTGAGACGAAAACGGTCGTGAGTTTATCCCGAAAACTTTCTTCGCCAAACGTTAAAGGGAGTGTTCCACAGTTGTTTGCGTTTTTGGACTGCATTAGCTATCTTGAAGATCATTCGGTGCAGTTCACAGCCTTGCCCTTCTTTAGATCTAAACCCCTCTAGTTTCTGAGCTTAATGCCCGCGGATATGTGCAGACTTTCGGGGCAGCTATTTCTATGTTGCCCAGGTATCCATGGCACCATAACTTAATTCAAGTCCTGCCATTCCATTAGCCATACGGCGATAAAGGCCAGTGCAAATATAACTGCTGAGACATTCGTATCTGGCGTTCGTGTGCACGATTTCCGGATATATCAGCCGCCAATTGGCTCTCAAACAATGTGGCGCAAGGTACGATGGCGTAATCAGACAATGACGCAATTGGGAACATGTCTACTTAACAGAGAAATTGTGTTTTTAGAGCAGTCGTTTTCACTTGAAAGTATACCAATAGATACAAGTGAACTTCTTTCATTTTATGCCACGCTTGCTTTTCATTTAAAGGTGGAACACTCCTTTTAAAAGGCCGGCGCACAGATGCGCCTGTTTCTGGGTGCGTACATCAACAACCACACACGTCATGATGGGCGTAATGTCGCAAGGCGGATGTATTTGATGGCGGGTGTATTAGAGCCATGGCATATTTATTGGAAGTAGAAACAATACAACTTTCGTAACTTAAACTTTCTAACGTAGCTTGACTTCTAAACGTAACTTTTGCTTTCGTAACGGACCGTGCTGCTACAATCACCGCAGCCGCAGCTTCCCCGCGGGCTGTCCCGAAACTGGTGAAAAATGTACGCAGCGCTTTGGATGCGAACACGTATGGGTGGTCAGAAGTGCGACAGCAGCACCCCACCGCGGCGGGGTGGCCCGTGAAGCTGCGGGGACGGCCTTGACATCAGGACCGGCCCACCGCGGCAGGGTGGCCGCGTGAAGCTGCGGGACCGGCCTTGACATCAGGACGGGCCCACCGCGGCAGGGTGGCCCGTGAAGCTGCGGGACGGCCCTTGACGGCAGGACCGGCCCACCGCGGCAGGGTGGCCCGTGAAGCTGCGGGACGGCCTTGACGGCAGGACCCGGCCCACCGCGGCAGGGTGGCCCGTGAAGCTAGCGGGATGGCCTTGACCGGCAGGACCGACCCCCGCGGGAGGGTGGCCCGTGAGCTGCGGGTGGCCTCGACGCCAGGACTGGGCGGTGGATGCAGACTGGTAACTCTGTTCTCGGCGGCCACCCCGAGGCTCGGTGCCGAGTCGACGGGAAGACGAGCCGGATTCTCTCACGGGAGCAATTGCAGCAAAAGGCGGCCATGCTCAAGTGGCGGTTTTGAAGGATTGGCGATGTCGCGGAAACCTTGGGAGCACTTCGCAGCAAGGCGCAGCCACTAAAGCACTGGAATGACACGACTTCTGCTTGCTCGCGCACGCTCGCAAGAGCGGAATCCCTGTGGACTGCACGGATGCATTTTATGACGCCGTGTGCTTCTCTGTGACTTCGTATGCGTCCACGACCTGTGGCCTCCAATGCAGCAGCCGCTTGGTTTTTTCTGTCAAACTGAGTTGACTGATGGATCGGCCGAGATAAGCAAACAGTCAGACGTCGATTGGTCTTTGTTGGTGTGCAAGCAACTGCATTCAGTTCTCTGTCTGTCCAGTACGTGCGCATTACACTGTTTTTCGACCAAATTGTTGATATTGACAGCGAAGTGCCCGTGTCATTCTTCGGAGTCGTGTCACCAGATTAAATTTTGAACATTTCATCCCCGTTAGCTGTGCGTTACTCCAGCTTCACTTCTTTGCGCGCTCGAACGCTGGCCCACCAGATAAACACGACAGTCAACGTATGCCGTGTTTTCCTTTGCGACATCTCCTTACCTTTGCTTTGCCAGTGGCAGTGACCTTATAACGCGGATCGGGCTGTAGGGAGTGCGGACAGCTCTGCTGTTTTACGCCCGTGCTTTTCTCTGTAGGCGGTTGCAGCTTTCTGCTGACGGCGGTCGCCATGACTGTTGGCCTCCGTATCATTCAAGGGGTTGAAAACTGATTTAGGAACAAGGTGCTGTATTGTGGAGACCATTTTTTCTCAGCTTCGCCAAGAACCTCAGTATATATGTCCTCCCCAAGCAGTCATTTGGTATAAAGCGTCTCGATGCAAGACTGGAACAACAACTCAAACTTGGACCGTGAAAAGCTGCACATGTTAGCTTACGAACTGTGGTTGCCACCGCAAGCCACGCCTTCTGCGGCGCCGGTGTCTGACCGAGCGCGCCCCCCGCCGCAGCGCCGTCGGCTTCCGGCCGCCTGGGGTGCCCGCTCTGCAGCAAGACGTACGCCAGCTGGGACTCGTACCGACACCACCTGGAGACGCACGCCGGCCGCACCACCTGCCCGCGCTGCCGCCAGGTGTTCGCCACGGCTGCCAGCCGAAACCGGCACATGGGCTCGGCTCGCTGCCTGGGCGCTGTGCCGCCGCCGGCGCCGGTGCCGGCTGGGGACGGCGCGGAGGCCGAGGAGGCGGACGGGGAGGCCGAGGCGCAGCTCTGGACAGCCCCGCAGCTCCCGGACAGCGACGGCGAGCTGGGATAGCGACGGGCGGCGACTCGGGGAGATGGGCTTTCGGGGCGGCCGATCCGCTGTCCAGATCTAGATCCAGAGGCTCCCATCGGGTCGGTCCAGAGATCCCCAGATCCCCGGATCCAGATCCAGAGACGTCTGGGCGTGCGGCCGGCCGGGTCGTCGGGCAGCGGAACAGCGGCCTGCGGTGCTCCCCCGCCGTGGGGGTGCGCTGCCGAGCTCCGCTGGGGTCGTGTCGGACCTGTGACGAACCTGCCGGCCGGTTGCAGGCGGGTCGAGCTGGCGGCTGGTGATTGCGGTGGGCCCGGACTGCTCTCGGAAGCTGCTGCGTCCATGCGTTGGCGTCGTGTTTGTCACAGCTCTGACTCGTGTTTGTCACAGCTCTCACTCGTCGCGCGTTTGAACGCCAGTCCAGCAATGCTGTCTCCGTAACGCACTGAAGCCCAGTGAAGGTCGAGCGAGAGCTCACGGTTGTATTGATCACCATTGTATTTACCCGGTACAAGTGTGAGCATGCGGCATTCATGATCTCTGTGCTCGTTTTCGCTGGCCATGGTGCAGCTTTCCTTGCGAAGGCACATGTGCGTGGCCGCGCGGGGCTCACTAGCGCGACCATTGTGCCACCGAGGAGCGGTCGGGCGGGGACGGCGGGCACTGTCCCCTTGACTGCTTGTTGATGGCTGCTGTGTAGCACGCGTGTCGTTTGAATCCAACAGAAGGCGTTCAGGAACGGTATCTTACTGCGGAAAACTGCAGGCCACTCACACTGGTCCACGAGAGGGACTGCTGAATGCCGCGTCCCAGAGAGCAGCATATGTGCGTGTATAGAGAAGGAGGGGGGGGGGGGGGGGCAAACCAGCCGTGCGAATCATGGGTGGTCGTGATGTCGCCTTCAGGGCATATGACTCGATGCCGCCGATGGCCTGAGACAGTTCCATGAGCGGGCCTGGACGCCGATCGAGGAGTCGCACGCGTGCCCTGTGATGCGTGTCGTTCAGGTGATGATGGCCGAGGACGTTCTTCCGTCGTAGCGCCATGTAGACCGGTCATCGCCCATAAACAACACGAACTGGACAATCGTCTTTGAATGCGACATGGCACGAGTAATGCCGGCCGCGGTTGCGTGCCCGTATCCGGCTCCGGGCTCCCCTCCTTGCCGAGTTGGAGGGATGACATACACGCCGCGGTTGCATGCCCGTATGCGGCTCGCGGCCCCTCCTTGCCGAGCTGGAGGGATGACATACACGCCGCGGTTGCATGCCCGTATGCGGCTCGCGGCCCCTCCTTGCCGAGGCTGGAGGGATGACATGCACGCCGCGGTTGCGTGCCCGTATCCGGCTCGGGGCTCCTTGCCGAGCTGCTCGGAGAGTGGTCGCGAAACATCGCGATGCACCCAGGATGACGGTACCTCCGGGGATGCATCGAAACTTTTGGAACGTTTGAAGTGACATGGTAGACGATGCTACGGGACGGATCCCAGGGATGTGGCAACGTTTGGAGTTACAGACTCCCGGGAGTGCAATGAAACACACGGGCTGCGGCACATGGGGTCCAAGCCCCTTGTGGTCTGATAGCCCACGGGGTCCACGCCCCTTGTGGTCTGACGGCTTTGAGCATGTGCAGAAGTACCAGGAGCACTTCCACCCTCTTACTTACCTTCGTCCTCTGGGGCGACGATGATCGTTACTGAGGGGTATCTTTGCGAAACCGTCTAGATTGCTGATGCCTTTCAGGCTCTGGGCTTCCGCTGATCTCTAACCCCGGCTCTGGGCTTCCGCTGATCTCTGCCCCTCGACTCTGGGCTTCCGCTGATCTCTGCCCCTCGACTCTGGCTTCCGCTGATCTCTGCCCCCATGCTCTGGGCTTCTGCTGGTCACTGCCCCCAGTCTGTGAGCTTCATCTGATCTCGTTGTAAAACATGGTGGGATAGTCGGAGCACTGGCGTGAAAAATGGGCCAGGTTTGACCCAGGCGAAGGGGACTCAGCACGGGGTCCGGCACCGGCCAGCTGGCGTTCTCAACGGTGTTCCTCTGCACTGCGCTGCTGATGCCTTTGAGGTGACACGGCTCATTTGGAGGGCGGCAAGTCGCCCATACGACGGCCCATAGGGCTGGATATCTCGCAGCCACTGTGTGGCGTTTGACGGGAGTGAACAACTCAGAGGCATTGTGTGGCGTTTGCCACGATGATCGTAACATATCAGTAGCCACCGACCGCGTCTGCCCTGGACATGTGTGCCGTTTTGACAGGACTGAACAATTCGGGGGCATTGTGTGGCGTTTGCTACGATGATCGTAGCATTGTCGTTAGTCACCGACTACCCCTACCCTGATAATATGCTCTACCCCAGTTGGCTTCGAGAGAGACCTTTCGTGGTCCCCTTCTTTTTCTGTTGGTGTATCTGGACAGGAAGCGTTAGTTGGCGCGAAGTTTTTAATGGAGGATAAGACTGCACTGAACCTCCACATCCTCACTCCTGTGACGGAAAAGGTGAACGGTTCTAGTGCTTTCTCTGTTTTGCCACCCAAGCTCGAGTATGCGCCACAGTCAACCGCATCCTGTGTTATCTCCGTTCAGACGAGCCCATCACCGGCACCGCTGAGTGGGCTGAGCCCGTCGCCGTCACCGCACAGCCACGCTGTCGCGGCGCCCCAGAGCCCAGGCCGCCGCGACCGTCACGTCCCGCCGCGCCCGGCGGTCCGTTCGCTCCGACTTGAGCGTGGCGCCCTTGCGTTGCAGCCGAGTACCGTGTCGGTTCTGCGGCCGGCTGTACCGCACGCCGGGCAGCCGGCGCGCCCACGAGCACGTGCACACGGGCGGCACCGTCTGCCACCTCTGCAGCCTGGCGTTCGGCAAGATGGGCAACCTGAAGCGCCACCTGCGCGCGCGCACGGCCTGCCCGAGCGCGAGGCGGCCGAGCTGGTCCGCCTGAGGCTGGCCGCGGCGGCCGTCGACCCTCGCCGCGCTGACGGCCGACCCTGCTGACGTTGGCGGGCTGGACGGCCGACCCTGCTGACGTCGGCGGGCTGACGGCCGACTCTGCCGACGTCGCAGGCATGACGGCCGACTCCTGCCGACGTCGGCGGGCTGACGGCCGACCCTGCTGACGTCGGCGGGCTGGTGACGGACTCGGATGACGCCTCGGGTCAGGCGACGAACTCGCTGTGAGGCGTCTGGATTCGTGGCGGACTCGCACGAAGTGTCCGGCTTCGCAGTGGACTCGCACGAAGCGTCCGGCTTCGCGGTGGACCCGGACGACGCGAGCGGAGCGCCGCGGGCCGTTCGAGGCGTGACCGGGGCTACGGTGCCCTGGCCGGCTGGGGGGACGCTTGGTGTGACGCTCTGTGCGTTGTGTGACGCAGCAGTTGTGACGACAGTGCCCTGGCCGGCCGGGGGACGCTGGTGTGTGACGCTCTGTGTGGTGTATGACGCAGCAGTGTGACGACGGTTGCACTGGCCGGCCGGGGGGGGGGCCCGGTGTGACGCTCTGTGTGGTGTGTGACGGCAGCAGTGTGACGAACGGTGCCCGGGCGGGGCCGGGGGACGCTGGTGTGACGCTCTGTGTGGTGTGTAACGCTGCAATGTTCTCTGCGGTGCGGTGGTGCGGGGGTGCTGCACGTGTCCGATCAGGAGGGCTGTGGCGGTTGCGGATTAGCCGGCGCAGTCTGAAGGCCAGTTACTTGCTCAAGTGGTGATCAGAGCAGCTAGTGACCAGGATTGGGCTATAGGTATGTGGCGTGCCGCTGTCAGGACGTTCTGACTGTTCTGGCTTACCAGTGCAGCCTGGTTCTGATATCCTGTATTGTTGAGTGTTTTCTTAAGCCATATGGATGAAATCACCGTATTTACAGCCTTAAGTCCGGTAGAAAAACCACGAGAATGAAGATATAGATGTATTGCACATCTTTATGTGCAATGTATATATTTTCCATTCTCCAGGGCATTCTACGAGAAATAAGGCTACCGTCTTATCTACATACACAATGTTCCTCGTGAACGCCATTTAACGAATTGCATAAAATAGATGAAAGTTTTTCCAACGAGTTTGTCTTGCAGAAGGCAAACGTTTCGAGCACAAATAGCACCTTTCCCAGTCCCAACAGATAATAAACCACATACGAAAATAGATGCAAGACTCCACCTTTTCGTTCATTTCACGGCACCATTAAGTCATGGCTCAAAACCACTACCGTAATGTTGATGAATTAGTGTGTTATTGGCCTCCCATTGGGCCCATATAAGGGCCAAAACTTCAAAGTAATAATACAACATTGCTTAAATGGACCGGCAAAGAAAACGTTAGTAAAGGGGTAGACGATGCAAACTTGTCACGTGTTTTACTGCTGTTGCGAGGTCCTTGTAGTACCAGGGCATTAAGTAAAGAGCGGGACCAGGGTAAGTTGATGCTTGGCCGCCATACTACCGACTGCACGTACCACTGCAGCAAACTTCTGGTACCCCGTTCGTCTGCCTTTCTCCCTTCATCTCCAACGGCGACCGGCGCTTGGCCCCCGGCTGGCCTGGTGCGATGTTGGCTGGATGGCTGGCCTGGTGCGATGTTGGCTGGATGGCTGGCCTCTGGTGCGATGTTGCGCGCATCCTGGCGCGCACGTGACGAGCTTGCAGACGCTGCACACACGTGCCCCCTGAGGCAGGCGTTGGCGGGAAGGAGACCCCAGGTATGCTCCAGCCCGTATGTTGTATGCGGGGCAGGGGCAATCGCTCATCCATGCGAGACAGAAGCTTTCAATTTTCAGATGCCGGTGTCACGTGCTCTGGGGTCGGTATAGAC